ATTTTTCTTTCAGCGCATTTTTCCTAGGCCTAGGTAACAAAAGGAATATGTATAAGGTTACTTGGAAGAAAAATCTGAGTTGACACGGGGCAGCCCAAAGGCAGTCCAGTTCTGCCTTCTGGAGGTTTAGTTAAAATACATTGCTCAGGCATAAACTAGCTTCTTCTTTTCTTTGTGCTGTACAGTGGGCTTTTGACAAGTACTTGTTGTTGTTATGTGCCATCGAGTTGTTTGCGACTCATAGCGACCCTAGGTACAACAGCCCTAAATTCTGCTCTATCCTGTGCCAATTGCATGGCCTCTGACACACCCATCCCGATGACCCCAATCCACCTCATGAATGAATCAATCCACCTCATAGAGGGTCTTTCTCTTCTGCGCCATCCCTCCACCCTACCAAGCATGATGTCCCTCTCCAAGGACCTGTCTCTCCTTACAACATGTCCAAAGTATGTCAGACGAAGCCCCAGAATCCTTACCCACTACTTTTGTTCTGTAAACTCTGTCTCTGCTTCCTCACCTCTGCCCACTATCACTGCCTTCTGCAACCTACTAGGTTGCAACTATGTTCTGCTGGACAAGAGGGGAAATTCTGCAACTTTCTTTTGTAATAGACACCTGAAGTGTAGACTATTCAACATTTCATTGAACTGCTAGCCAGATTCCAAAAGACAGCTTAAAACTTTGTGAAGTAAGAACTCCATAAGTCTACATTTGACAAATGCCTAAGGAGTTTACTTTGACACCCAAATTTTCTAAAGACTGAATTACTTTTGTTGTCAGAACATTTTTATCTAAGCAAGTGGTTGCTTGCTTCGCTTATCTACAATAAAGCCAAGAGTGTGGTCTTAAAAAATCCAATATTCCACCTCCTGAAGAAGTAAAAAGTGCCTCAAGAGTAGTTGAGAGATATAGTAAACAGTACTTGAAAAGGGCCTATGAGTTTATCAATAGGGGTGTGGGAGGATTAATTAATCTGTAATTGAAAATAAGCAACAACTTAGAAAAGAAGAGATCATATATTAAAAATGTGTTAACAAATTGGACTTGGTGTGAGGGGAAGGAGAAAATTGTGTAACAATGAAAGAATTTTTTTTAAGGAAAAAAGCAAACTGGGGGGAGGTAGGGAGGAAAATGTGCAATAATGAATGAATGGAAATCCAAGTTTTCTGTAAACTTTCATTATATTAAAGTATTAATAAAAAATTAAATTAAAGAAAAATGTGCTAACTTGGGGGGGTGTTAGTGTGAGAGGGAGAGAAAAAGAAACAGAGAGAGAGAGAGAGAGAGCACGCAACTGTGTGCACCAGGAGGAGGGGGCCTCTGAGTACCCATTCCTTGGATTCCACCTATAATCTTTTTTCCCTCCCCTACATCTATGTGATTGAGTAAGCTCTGATGGCTTAGTGGTAAATAGTTGCGCTATCAACCCAAAGGTTTGAATCCACTAGCTGCTGTGGTGGAGAAAGATGAACAGTCTCCTTCTGTGCAATTAACTGCCTCTGAAACTCATGGGACGGTCAGCTATGGGTCAATTGTGACTCAGTGGTACATAACAGCAATACGTAATCTAACAGCTGTGGGTTCTATATGTGCATTTCTTGTCATTCATTTTCAAACCTTTCTTTTTTAGTTTTAGGTTGAGACTGATGGCAAAAAGCAAAAAAGGACAAAATACAGAAAAGGGGAAGGAGGAGACTAGTGACAGGAGGAGGGCATGAAGATAAAGAAGATTAACATGGAGTTAAGGAACAAAGCCCAGAAGGAGGTAATAGAGTTGTTGTTGTTGTTGTTTGCCTTCGAGTTGGAACTGACCCATAGCTAACCCTCCAGTGGGTTTACAGAGGCAGTTAATCACACTGGAGGAGACTGCCAACCTTTCTCCTGCTGAATAGTTGGCAGCTGGTGGATCTGAACCACTTGCTTTGGGATTGCAGCATAGCTTCTGACCACTAGGCTACCAGTACTCCCTGATAAAGTTAATAGAGTTAGTCCTTGATAACTACTGTTATATCAATAGAAAGACTGAGGACCTGAATGATACTACTAAAGAAATGGAGCTTTTAAGTATGGTTGATATGGATTAAGCTCCCTGGTCCAACCTCTCAGCATAAATAAATTCTGAAAGTTAGAATTAGTAACACTAGTATTTCCAGTGGTTTGGAAATCCTGGAAGAGAAATAGCCAAATTTTGCATACTTCAGTCTGAGTAGAAACAAATCAAAGAACAGTAAAAACAAAGAAAGTAGAAACTCTGAAAAATCTTAACAATTTGAAAAGTCATAACTTGTTTAACTATTCAATTAAACACTGAAAAGACTATAGAGAAAATAACTGCTGAGCCATGTTACATAGTTAGATCTGATGAGGTAGGTAACGAAGCAATGGAAATATATAAAGATAATAAAGATGAGAATGGAGAATGGAAGATGAGGATAAAGAAGTGGAAATTGGTCTACCTGAAGTTTAAGAGGAAAAGGAGGAAGAAAAGATGGATGATGATTTCTTTATCAGATTCGGGGGAAGGAAAAGAGAAAGTGGTCCTTGTGTAACTAATGAAAGAAGAAATCCAGCATGAAGCAGAAGATGAACAACAGAGTTCAAGAAGGTCTTTGAGGTAAAAAGAGGAAGATGTTGGTAAGGAAAATTACTAAACCCTTCTAAAACTAGGTTTTTCTAATATTCTTTGTTTTGTAATAGAGTGATCATGTTTTCCTTGTTTTGTTTTGTACAACAGTTATTTTTACATAAACTAGCATGCAATAGAGAAAAAGCGTGGTTTTTTTTTTTCTATTTTTGTGTTATTTCATTCTAACTAAAATTTATTAGTCTGTTAATGATCATACCGTACATAGAAAATATTTTCATAGCCCCTCCAATTGTAAAATTCCCTGGAAATATTTTTGTCCTAATTTTCAGAATCTTTTTTTCTAATTTATCCTCACTGCATTACTGAGGGCAGGTGTGTCAGAGACAATAAAGTTGGCACAGGATAGAGCAGGTTTCAGGGCGATTGTAAGGTTGCAATGAGTCACAAGCAATTCAATGGCACATAACAGCTTTTACACAGAAAGAGTATATAGAACATTTCATGTGTAAGATTTTAAAAGTTATTTATAAGCAAACTAAAATCAGTTGTAATATGAAATGACAACAGTCTCTTGAATGATGAACAAGTTTTGGTGTTTTATTTTTTTAAAGGTGATTCAGAGATCTCTAGTTTGAAGTCAATGCCATTTTCTTTTTTTTTGTTATGGATATTTGTTTATGCATCTAGGTTTTATGAGTTATTTGAAAGTCCAAGCAGAATAGTAAAGGTTGTTCCCAGTAGCAGTGTTCTCAGATTTTATGGAGACTTCTGAAATTTTTTTAAACTAAGTGACTGATAAGATTTTATTTTTGAAGCAAAAATTGCTTATACAGTTCAGAGACACACAAATGAACTCTTTTTTTCTTCAGGCTACAAGTTAATTGAAATTATGCTTTCATACTGGGACATTTAAATTATCTAGCACATTTTTGCTGTTGTTGTTTGTTTAAAGTGCATGAGTTTTTATTTTCAGAGTAAAATTTCTAAAGTTATTTGTTGTGTACTATTGAGCTGGACCAGATGCAGTTAATTTTGCACGGGAGAAGACTGCCCGTCTTTCTCCCACAGAGCAGGTGGCAGATCCGAACCATGAGTCTTTGGGATGGCAGCGCAGCTTCTTGACACTAAGCCACCAGAGCTTTCACAACTGACTGCAATGAAATTCTTGAAATCACCTTAGTGGCAGAATTGGGATTTCTAACACCAATTAAAATAAACCCCATTTTCCTATTTTTAATAACTAAAACGCTTTTAGCCATCAAGGATTCTCATTACATAGTTATGCTAGATTACAAGTTATTTTTAAAATTAAATTTCTATGTTGAATTTCTTATCATTTACAATATTATGCAATCAAAAAACAGAGTTTCTTGGTTTGAAAATACTTAAAGCCTCCAGATAACTTTTAAAATTTATTTAGGAAAAAAAACCCCAACAAATTATTTAGCTTTGTAAGTGTTGTTTCATGCAAATCAGGGTATGTTATCTATTTTGAAAAAGAGTTTAGTCCTATTTTAATGCTTTTTTAATAACACTATGTACATAGTGTGATAAATTCTTCAAGAATCTCTCCTTTAAAAACTTTGAATATTTTTTCAACTGTTTTGAATAAAGTAATAACAATATTAAAACAAAAACAATATGCAGTACTCTTGACCATTCTTTCATTGTGTCTATTTCATGGTTTTTCTGTGACTAAAACTTAAAAGTTTTGAAAAAGAATTCTTTCAAATAAACAAAGATTTGTTATAATGGAAAAGAAAAAATTGTGCTAATTTGGGGGGGCAGTTTTGAATATCAAGAAGATTATGCAAACTTTCAAGCCAATCACAGGGAGTCCCAAGGGTACAAATGAGAAGCCCTCTATTCTTGAGTGTGTCTTAATGAACTTACAGGTATGTTGAACAGGTATATAAGGTTCTTTCTTAGTCTTACCTTAGTGAAAGTAAAGGTTTTAAGCCTCTTTGATGATGCAATAGATACATTTTCAGCAAGTAAAGGGAATTGCTCTGAAGACTTCAGGTAGAGTTTGGTTCAACCATTTCAAAGTGAGGGTAAATTTACATACTAAACAATATATCTCTGGAAACACTATAAACTTTGATAAATGATGATAGTGATAAAAAGACTCCAGGCCTTTTGTTCATAGGGTGGCTATGGGTTGTGCTTGACTCAATAGCAAACAACAACAAAGAGTAAGTATGAATAGTTCATAAGTTGGATACATGTAACCTGGGAACTGTCTGTTGGCAACTCCTACATCAATTCTAGAGTTAATTAATTTCAAATGTTGGGAAACAACGACTAGTAGTTTTAGTTATACACACATGCTATGGGTGTCCCCAAATTTTACATACTTTGAAACATCTTAGCTAATGGTAAAAGTTAAGACAGAAGGAAATGAACTCACTTGTCAAACTCATCAAAAAGATCACAACTCTGCAGTTTTGAAAGAGCAACTCGAAAATATTCCGCTAGAAGACAAATGAAGCATTATAAGTAAAGGGGTAGTCATGGCTTCTTAAGCCTGCTGTCCTCCCTCAACCCCATTCCCAACTAGTATGGCCACGTTTTAGTTACTCAGTGTGGAAAATCAATAACCTAGACACCTAAGAGTAGCCAGCGCTATGAATAAGCACACTATAAATGGTAAATGCTCTAAAGATACTTTCCAAATTCCCCAGGAAAAGAAGATGTTAATCTGAAAACAATCATTAAAAATGGAACTCCAAAATTTGTGGAATCATGATTCTAAAGCTGACACATTAGTATCCAATATTCCAAGGGTGTACACATGCAAAGCAATCAAATTTTGTGTAAAATATTTTTAAAAATACAATATCACCAATATTAATTGAATAAGCAGATTCTAACTCAGAATACTATAGGGTCAGTCACCTCTTAGGTTTTAAAATTGCTCAAAGCTATAGATGTGAATGAGGTAAGGCCAATCTTTTATCGACTAGTAGGAGGGTAAAGGTTGTGTCACTAGTAGAGAGAGCTCTGGTAGCCTAGTGGTGAGAAGTAGAACTGCCCATCCAAGGCACATGGTTTGGGTCTACCACCTGCTGTATGGGAGCAAGACGGGCAATCTCCTCTTCGGCAATTTACACCCTCTGAAAACCCACAGGAGGGTCAGCTATTAATTGGTTCCAACTTGATGGCACATACAACAATATTATTAATAGAGATATAGTCTCTAAATTTTGTAAAACTAAAATATCCATTGTTTGGATTAAGATTGACCACAGGTATAGAACTTGCTGATGAAATAAAATAAACAGATATAAAGGGAAAATGGAGCCATAGAAGAGAGATGAATTCTGTTAATTCTAAATAAGAAAAAAATGTGAATGAAAGTGCATATAGTAACAGAACAAAAGCAAAACTTTACCATTCTCCTTCCATTGCACACTGCCTCACAAGGAATAGATTTATTTGTGTACATGTGTATGTGAGAAAGTATTCCTAACAAAACATGTCTTTATTCAAAATTACATTTTTCTGCTTCTCTGCATATATTGTTTGACCTCTTTCCCCTAAAATTCTCATCAGTGTTTTAGATTTTTGTGGTCAATTAAATTTTACATAAATAATTCATTTTTTAAAAAAGTGCAAATATTCTTTATCAGTTGAACAAAACTGTTGCTTTGTTTATAAATGACTTTAAGGAAAAGCTTACTTCACAGTTTCAAAATTATATAAACACAATCGGTTCAGGCATTTCCCTCGTTCCAATGGGTGCAGTGTGGTTTCTGTAAGAATTTGAAGTTATATTCTGTCACTTTCCTCTTTTTGATCAGGATGCACCCAATGGGCCCTTGATTGAAATACCAACAGTGGCTCGACACCAGTTTATTCTTCTAGTCTCTTGGTACAGGAGGCAGTAGTCCATGGAGACAATCAGAACTGCTGTCCATTTCCTTCTGTTTTTTGGAGGTTACAAATTCACTTTTAAAAAACTACACTCATGCTACCCACAAATCATACCTTTCAGCAATCTCAATGAAACAGACAAATTAAAAATCCTTGAACATGCATGTTTCACTCCTCAAATTTAATAGGGAAGGGGAAGAATAATGCTACTTACCTGATGTTTTTATCCCATAGGGTAAATCAAACTTATCACTCCCATAGAAGGAAGCAATCTTTTTAAAATCAGATGCACACATAAAAGGGTGAAACTGAGGATGTCTGTAAGGAAAAAATAGTGTTATTTTCCAAATACCTGCAGTACTCCTAGGCTTTCAATATCACAACTGAAAATAAAGGTAGAATATGACCCTCACTGTTGTACTGATATATACAAATCTAGAATTATTTTTTAAATTCTTTTCAAAATAGTTCCAAAAAGTATTTAAGAATAAAACAGGGAGGAAATCTGAAATGGAATTATACAATTAGAATGAAAACAATTCCAGATGCTAGAACAAAATTATGGTACCATTTTGGGGTGAAAATAAAATGTAAATTGAAAAGCATACAAGCAAAAATGATAAAATGATAGCCATATACAGGAAAAAACCCAAAACACTACAACAAAAGTAATAAGGCAAAATGAAAATTGATACTAAGTGATTCCCAAATTAAAAAGTATCATATAAATAATTGTCTGTTAGTTGAAGAATAAAAATACATTGACGCTTATAAGATTATATGCAGATACAACTAATTTTTCCCTAAATGTTGATTAAATTAAGATATAGTTTAGAGACTTATCAAGTCCATTTAATTGGACAGAATTTTACAACGCCTAGAAATGAACTTTAAACGTAGGCCAGAAATTATCTCATGAACCCATCATTAAACTAAACCACACTAATAAATAATGTTTGTCTCTGGAGTAGTGTATATACAAGGAATTATCAAGACGGATATAAACTGGCTTCAACCTAAAGCACAGATAAGAACTTCAAGGGGCAGACCGCCTAAGTCCATGGTGACACAGCAAAAAAAGTCAGAGAGACGGCAACACGATGTAGAGTATGTATCCGATGTTACTGGATTGTTAACACAGAAACAACGAATGGCTATGTGCTTGGTTTTGTACAACCTGCTAGAGTCAAGTCAATTCTAGCACTCAGGTGTCTAATAGCACAGAGTAGGAGGGTTCCTTAAGGTTTTCTGGGCTGTAATCTTTTACAGGAACAGACTGTTGCATCTGTCTCCTATGGAACAGCTGGTAGATACAAACTGACTAACTTTTTTGGTTAGCAGTCTAGCATTTAATCACTGCACCACCAGGGGTCCTTCGATTGTGTATATATGTTGTTCTTGTTGTGCGGGGTCATATTGGCTGCAATTCACAGCAACTCTATGAACAAGGGATCTGACCCTTGCCCTATCCTCTGGCATCCTCACCAAAACACTGGAACTCATTGTTGTTGGGGGTTTTTTGCGTGGTTTGTTTTTGGGTTTTGGGGTTTTTTTAGAAATATTGCTTTATTGTCATTAACTTACATCCAAATTATTTTATGCTTTTTAAAAAAGTCTTAACAAGCATTCAAGAAAACACACATAGCTTCCGCACAAATAAGGGCAAACAAAATGGGACTAATGATTGCCCCAAATGATATTTCCTAAGAGAAAAAAAAAAAAGTAATGTTTAACCTTTCTTCTTTTGAGGCTAGGTAAATTAACTACACAATTTATAAATAAGATATTCTTACGTTATAAGGAGCAAGAACAAAGATCTTGTTTTTGAAGCATATCAAATTAAAAATACAAAATCCACTCTTTTGACCAAGAAGAGAGAAGAAAGGACATCATTCTTCGATACTTCAATTCTACGCAATGAAGTCCAGGGGTCTGTTGAATCCACCTTTTCTATTCATGTACTGCGTGTACTTCCTCTTCTGAGATACAGTTACGGCATAGGCATTTACAGAGACATCCACCTTCTTCCCTTTTGTGGAGTCCTTTTGTTTCTATCTTTTCCTCGTCTCTTTTTTCTTTTAATCAAGAAGGGGAAGGGGATGTAGATCTATGTCATCCTGGAGATCTGGATCATCTTCTGTGGGGTGATCGAGAGAGGCTCCTCCTTCAATCTCTCTCCCGGGACCTGGACCTTTCTTGACATCGGTGTTCCCTCTCCCCAGATGTATGGACCCTGATCGCCTTCGCTCTTTCCTAGGAGAACGGGCTGCGGCTATGACCCATTCCCAAACCTGCTACTTATCTGAAACTCATTGTTACAGTCACTGCTTCAGTCTATCTTGTTGAAGATCATAATCCTTTTTTTTGTTTGTTTTTCTGACCCTCTACCTTTCCAAGCCTGATGTCTTTCTCCAAAGACTGGCCCCTCCTAATAATATGCCCAAAGTGAGATAGATTTTCACCATTATGCCCCCCAAAAAAAGAAAAATAGACTTATAAATAAACTTACAAACAAGAACCATCCTATTTATAGACATTTACGCTTTTACTTTCTATTCTACCCTGAAGACATTCTCACCTTCGGGTCTAGACAAGACATAAAGTTTTATAACTTTCTGTTAATAGGAATAGCCTCTGTATTTGGGGTGGGTTTTTTTTTTCTCACTTTCAGCAAATGACAGAGTCAGGCAGATAATTCATGTTTAATAAATGACTGCACTTCAACTCCAACTTACGAAGTATGCAGAAGAAAAGGTTTTCATTTTTGTTTTTATTAAATAGAAAGATGTCAGAGTAAAATGTCATTTTGCCCTCAAACAAAACAAAACAAAAAAAAAAAAACCAACAAAACCCAAACTGGTTGCTCTACACAAGCTGCTAAGAAAGATGAAACTAATCTTACTGCAGCCTATCTACAGGTGGTCCATCCTACCTGCCTCCAAAAGCTGCAGGTGAGAATAGAATGGTCCTGGAGTTTCCTGAGGCTAGAGGGCGAAAGAAAAATAAAAAGCCAGGGAGCAAGAGTGGTGAAACTGCTGGCGTGGTGGCCTGGATTTGGCGCTCAGGAATCACATGCGCTCAGGGCAGTAATAGTTGCTCACCATCTTCAGAGCTGAGTTGAAGTCTCATACCTCACTTGACGAAGGAGAGACCTGAGAGCCTGGCTTTGCCTGATGAGCAGGCCAGGGTCCTCCAAAGTTACCTCTAGATGATGGGTAAAAGTAGGACATTAGCTGACTTAAGCTTAACAAAACTTCCTGGTCTCCCCCTTGAAAATTTGAATCATGAATAACTTTACATCCTGAAGGGCAAGATTACAAAGATTTCTACTACTTATAGTTGTAAGATTAAAGGAAAAAAAAAGGAATGGCTATTTATACCATCAATAATAGCTATTGCCAGGCAGATCTTTTGCTAGGTGACTTATATTTTAATTCTAAGTGAAATAAGTGTTTCAGATTTGCACCATTCCTCATTCCACAGTTGTTATTGTTGTTGTTAGATGTCGTTGAGTTGAATATAAATCATAACGACCCTATATGAACAAAAGACCTGAACCCTGTTCTATCCTGCTTCATCCTCACACTTCCTGACACACACAAGCCCACTGAACAGTCACCATGTCAATCCTACTAGCTGAGGGTCTTGCTCTCCTTCGCCGATCCTCCACTCTTCCCAACAACATGTCCCTCTCCAAGGAACAGCCCCTCCTAGCAACATGCCCAAAGTATGTGAGATGAAGCCTCATCATTCTTGCCTCCAAAGAGCAATCCAGCTGCACCCTCTCCAAGACATATCTGTTTGTTCTCTTGGACTTCCAGGGGATATTCAGTGTTCTTCTCCAACACAACCCAAAGGCATCAATTCTTTTCCTTTCATCCTTTGCCATGGTCCAGGTCTCGGATGCATTGCATAGTAATCTGAGACTAGCCTGAATCAGACTCATCTTTGTCCTCAAACTAACCTCATTACTCTTCAATAATATGGAGAAGTCCCTAACTGCAGATTTTCCCAGTGTAATGAGTCTCCTTATTTTCTGACTGCTGGTATTAAGCATGTTAATTGTGGGTCTAAACAAGATGAAGCTTTTGACAGTTTCAATCTTCTCTCCATCCATCATGACACTGCCTATCGGTCCAGTGGTAAGAATCTTTGTTTTCCTGACACTGAGATGCAATTCATACCAAAGGCTGTATCTTTTGATCTTCTGCAATAAGTGCCTCAAGTCCACACATTACACAGTAGGTGCTCAATAAACATAAATTCTTAATTTGAATAATTATTGTTACAATGCACTTGGATTCTTTTATATCGCATAGCAGTGCATTTATTTGCTGCTACTTCTAGTCAAGTCTTCAGATCAGGAAAAATTGAAGCTCTAAGAAGTGAAGTAACTTGCCTGGAGTCATGAACCCCTAAGTGACAAATCCATACCAACACCTGGCTCTACAGCAGATGTCCTCTTTACAACACTGTGGGACAAGACCTCCAATTTTCCAGTGTGAGCTTCTCTTGCCACTAGCTCTCCTGTGTTTCTGAGTGAGTGACCTCAAGTAGAGCCAGAGGACGGAGGAATGCAGAGGTAGTAATATCTTGAAAGAGTCCCATTTACCTGACAAACGAGAATCTACTTGACAGATAACAATGAAGTATGTAGATTCACACACTTGTTGAACAGTCTTGCATAAATTCTGTAATCCTTTTACGTTTTCTCAGAAAGGGCAATAATAACTCTTGAGTGAAAGTTGAACAGGCCCTTATTCAAACTACAAAAATGGCATTTTAAATTTGCAGTCTTCAATCCAAAGGGGTCTCATAAAAACTGTGTGTGTGTGTGTGTGTGTGTGTGTGTGTGTGTGTGTGTGTTAATTTTATACTAGTTTATTTAGAAAATTAGAATATGTTGTTTTCAAGAGCAGTTCTTCCAATTTCCCTCACACACTCCCACCAATCAAATTGTACAACCCCATGATTAATCCTCCTCTCCCCCTGCACATCCTCATCCCTCTGCTTCCACCCTCCCCCCACTCCTCTTGGATCTTTATACTCATTCTACAATAATGGTTTTATACAATATTTGTCCTTGTGGTACTGAGTTAGTTCACTCAGCATAATGCTCTCCAGTCCCTCCCAAGTTAGATAATAATTTACAAAATCATTGCTTCTGCATGCTGCATAGAATTCTATTGTGTGAATGTATCATAATTTATCAATACATTCAAGAAGGCACAAATGGAGACTTGTACACCAATGTTCATAGCAGCATTATTCACCATCCTGAGAACATGGAAATCACTCAAATATCCAACCACAAAAATCAGCTTGATGAGCTACGATCAGCATGCTTTTAAAAGGTGACTGGAACAGAAATGATACATTTTCAATAGTAATGAAAATTTTTCATTATTCTAAATATGCATATGTACAAGGTCCTAATGTAAGATGTATTTTTTGATATGGGTCATATGATCAGAAATGTTCAGAAACACTTTTGTTGTTTTGCAAGTGCACTTAGTTAGGCTCATACTAATAGACAGTCCAAATGGGGTCATAGAACAGCTGAGACTGTGCGTGAAAATGTTGTTTGTATCTGTTGTTTCCCAGAGTGTGGGCTGATTTTAAATGAATCTGTAATTATGAATCATTAATGGAATGGTACAACAAGATAATGAAATAATGTACAAATTCTTGAGAAAATATGAATTGCTGATCCTTATATTTTACAATTAATATGCCTAGTTCAAAACCTTATTTACTTCTATTTATCCAGTCTGAAAGAGTTGATATTACATTTCAACAAGACAAAAATTACATTTGTGATAGAAGTATATATTTTCGGGGAGCTCTGGTGGCCTAGTGGCAAGGAGCTGCAACTACAATCCCAGAGGCACACGGTTCGAATCCACCAGATGCTCTGCCGGGAAAAGGAGGAACAATCTCCTCCTGTACCAGTCAGATCTGATTTGACGGTACACGCACACAAAAATTAAAAAAAAAAAAAAAAAAGAAGTATATATTTTCTACAAGGCCTGCCAACCACAGTGAGTAATGCCAGTGTTTTTAGCAGGATATTACTACTTAGGGAATGCTGGTGTTGTAATCTGTGGAAAATTGCACTGCTAACTCAAAGGCTGGGCTTCTCTAACAATTCAGATCCATTAGTGATTCTTCAGGGGAGAAAAAGAGCAATCTCTTCCCATTATGATTTATAGCCAATAGAGAGTTACTACAAATCAGAATGACTCAACAGCAGTGAACTTGAATTATTACTTACACTCTATGCGTTTCAGTTAAAGTGAAGGAACATTTCTTACTCCAAGGTTTAGCTTAGAAGCTCTGGTGGCTTTTAGTAAGCAATTGCACTACCAATCCAAAGGCAGGCAGTTCAAATCCATGAGCAGCCTCAGGGAGAAATATGGGCAATCTCCTTCTGCATAATTTATAGCCTCTGAAACCTAGCTAGAAAGTTAGCTAGGAGTTGGTTCAGATTTGTTGTCATGTAGCAGTAACAATTATATTTAACTGAGAGGCAAAGGAGAAGCAGTTTTAAAATTAAAGACCAAAAGTACCTGGAAACAAGAAGGGAAAATAAAACTCTAAAAAGCAGCTTTCTGCTTTATAATCAGACACAAATAGGCCTCTCTAATGTCACCTGTGTAAATAGAATACTGCTTTGATTGAGTTCTTCAAAGCCTTTTCTTAAAATATATGCAGGGCTCTGACTAAAAAGCACAAAAAAGAGACAGGATATTCAAGCTCTTCCTTAAATATAGGGCATCTACTTTATGCTACTGAGATTTGTATTTTAAAAGTAAATGAATGTGGAAAATGATTACAAGACAAATTTTTAATATTTTATGCCACAGTTTCTTTTATATTTCATATATATGTACTTCCCCGCTGCCCCTTTTTTACCTCAAGAGAGAGGCAAAAGCTGGCTTTGATAAACAAGGCTGGATCTTATTTCTCCGTTTCATTTCCACTGGTGGCACCCTATGAGACAAAAATAGTGTCAGTCAGAAACCAGACCTGGGCAGTGTGCCTGAAGGGAAGCATAAGCCCTGAGAACCAACTGCCTCCAGTGAGCAGCCTTAAAAGCAGCAAATAAAAACCCTCTGAGTAACCCTGCGGTCTCAACAGGGCTGTGCCTGAACTTGGCACACACCTGAGGTTTTAGGGGCAGAAGGTAAAGGAACGTGGACAAGGCTAGGTGGCTGATGCCCCAGAAATGCTTCAAAGAACTCTCTGAGAATGGCTGAGGTTACTGTCCTGTGGAAGCCACAACGAAGCCCATGTTTTAGAAACCTCCAGAGAGTTAGACCCCCAGGAAGATGAGTGATACAGTGACTACAACAATGGGCATAAGTACAGCAGAAACTGCGAGGATGGTACAGGAACAGGCAGAGCTTTGGTTTCGGTTTCTTTTAGACAGGATTACTGAGTTGGAATCACCGTGACAGCATCTAACAATAAAAACAAGACCACAAGTCTTTCCAGGTCTCCAAGGCACATCTGGGAACATCTATCAGCAGTAAACTCCTAGAAACACCTGATCTGAGCATGTCCCATTGACCTCATGCCTTGCGATCCTGGGGAACTCCACAAATCACACTTATCTAATCCTCTTCTTCTTTTCCTGGCACAGGTCAGGCCCTTGTGTGTCTCCTGAATAGAGTATTTGTCTCCACAATTTAAAGGGGTATTGTAAAACAAGTCAGAGGACAACAACAAAAATAAATTAACCGGGATGAGTGGGGGATGGGAGTGGGTGGGCAGGGATGGTGGACACATCCAAGAAAGAAGAAAACAGTTTCATGTAAGAGCTTTATACTGACCATGAAAAATTTATATAAATGGAGGATTGATTCATATTCAAGATTAAAACAGAAGGAAATAGCCTAAACCTTTTATTTGCTGGAGGCAATTTTCCATTTTTTCTAATAGAAAATATCCATAGCTAGAATTACAAGGTTTCTGGGCCCTGGGATTAATGAAGTTTTTGATGAATAAGACAAATTGCAAAGATTCCTAATACAAAAAAAAAAGTTTGCAAAATGTAGAAAATGAACTATGTTAGGATGTTGTGAAGAGAAACTCCTTTGACTTACTTTAAAAGAAATAGACAAATATTTGGCTTAAAAAGTTTTTAGAGGCAAGCTCTGGTGGCCTAGTGGCAAGAAGCTGCACTGCAACCCCAGGGGTGAGCAGTCAAATCCACCAGATGCTCTACCGAAGAAGGAGGGACAATCTCCTCCTGTACCAGTCAGATCCGATTTGACAGTACACACACACAAATAATAATAATAAAAATTTTAAAAATTTTTTAAAAAGTTTTTAGAGACACTGTCTAGAGCGTGTCAAGTAGAACCATTTGAGTTAATTTCCCAAAGAGCTTTCTTTTACTTGGGAGCTTAGGAGCAACATGAAAATCCCTCAAATCCTGACAACAAAAGACTGCTCAATGTTGAACATGATTATTATAGTCTTTTATCATCCTCATTGTGACCAGCAACAGAACTTGCAGTAGTTTATCTTCTTATCCTAAATGACTAAGTATGACTAGGCACAATATGAGAGTGACTTACAGAACCATGTAGAACATTCCTAACTTAGTTTATCATTAGACTAAAATATTCTGTGTCAAACATTTGGATCCAAAATCTAAAACTACAGCCTAGAATAGGTATGAAGAGAGTATACGACCGTGATGCACAACATTCTTGATTTTAAACCATGTAGTGTTCCCTTGCTCTGTTCGGACAATAGCCTCTTGGTCTAGGTATGTGTTTCCCATGAGCAGTATTAAGTGCTCTGGGATTTCCAGTCTTCTCAATGTTAGCTATAATTTGCTATGATCCACACTGTCAAATGCTTTTATATACTCAGTAAAATATAAATAGACTTTTTCTGATATTCTCTGCTTTCAACAATGATCCATCTGACATCGACAATGATATCCCTGGTTCTATGGCCTCCTCTAAATCCCGCTTGAACTTCTGGTACTTCCCTGTTTATGTACTGTTTTAGCCATTTTTTAATGATCTTCAGCAGTATTTTGTTTGCATGTGATATTAACAATATTGTTCGATGTTTCCACAATCTGTTGGATCACCTTTCTTGGGAATGGGAACAAATATGGACATCTTCCAATCAGTTGACCAGGCAGCTGTCCTCTCCTCCAAATTTTCTGGCATTGACTGGTGAGCCCATCCAAGATTGTATCTATTAGTTGAAACATGTCAATCAGTATCCTATTGATCCCTGGGGCTTTATTTTATTGTCAATGCCTTCAGTGTAGTTTCAACTTCCTCCTTCATTACACTGGCTCCTTCTCTTATAGCACTTCCTGAAATTTTAGAAAAAGTTACAGTAGACAATCAAGAAGTCAAAACAAAGGGAAAAGATGCCTAAGTAAAAGAGTTGAACAGAGTGTTTCAAAGGGAAGCTTGAGAAGATAAAGCAAAGTATTACCAAAAAAAAAAAAAGCAAAGTATTACAATGGAATGTGCAGAGCGGGGGAATTGGAGAATAAAAGGGAAGAATTGGCCCTGCATTTCTCAAGCTGAGAGAACGGGGAGTGGTGGAGTGGTGGAATTAAGCCTCAAGTCACAATATTGAAAAATGCTATGGGCAATATATTTAATGATCCAGAAAGTATCAAAAGAAGATGGATGGGATACACAGATGTACCTAAACGAACTGACTGACATTGAAACATTTCAGGAAGTACCATGCAATTTATACCTTCAGAAAACCCACCTGAGGAACATCTATGTAAGTTGAATAACAACATAACAACACTCTTTATGGGAGCATCTGTAGCACTGCTAAGTGCTGTGAAGTCCTTGCCCTATCTGATGCCATCATCATGATCTCTGCAATGCTCAAGCCCGTCATTGTAGTCTCTTGTGTCAATTCACCTAATTGAAGTTCTTTCTTTCATTCTGACCTTCTACTTTTCCAAGTAGGATGTCTTTTCCAAGGATTAAGCACTCCTGATAAGATGCTCAGAATATGTGAGACAAAGTTTCACCAACCTGGTCTCTAAGGAGCATTCTGATTGTACTTTCTATAAGACAGATGTGTTTGTTCTTTTGGCAGTCACATAATATTCTTCCCCAACATCACAATTCAAAGACATCAGTTCTTTGATGGAGAAAACTGGTGGAGGTACAAGGCAAGTTAAAAATCACCAACTTTGAATTTACTCTAATACTGGAATTTTTTTCAGTGAACATCTGGTTAACTTCCTTCCACATAAAGTATTGTAAGTATAACTATTTTTTTAACCAGCCAGTTGTACTGTTAAATGTAAAAACATCAGTTTTTATTTTTATCCTCTTTGTTCAAGTTAGAAACATGACTTGAGATGTGGAATTGAGATGATAACAAAAACACCAAAACCAAAACTAACTCTTTACCTAAGACAGGACGTTGTCTTGTGGTTTATTTTGACATGACTACACATTACTTCATGTTAAACACTGAGGAGAAAAGTAGGAAGTTTCCAGTGCAATAAAATTTTTAATCTCTTCAAAGTTCATTTAAAAAAAATTTTCCGTGTGTGTGTGTGTGTGTGTGTGTGTGTGTGCGCGCGCGCGTGTGTGTTTCATAATTTATTATATATTCTTAAGCAAGGAAAACTACATCTAGTGTATTTCTTCTGGTCAACTATTTTGGGCTGAAATAAAGAAGCTGAAGTGCTGCTGGCTCACAAATTGCTCTATTAATTTAAGAAAATGAAATATTAGGTAAATAAAGAATGCTATGTCCCCAAAATAGTCAACATCACCAGCTGCCTTTAGAGTAAAAAAGAATATTATTACTTTTTAATTGAGATATACTTTCAACATATCAGAAGGCTAAAATATTCATATATAATGAAAATCCAGAAAATACAAAATATTGTAAGATGTTTTTATAAGTCCTAATATCAAAGAGCTAGAGTTAGAAAATCAAAAGGGTCAAACTTGTTCAGCATTTCTTAAGCTGAAGGAACTGAAGAATAAATTCAAGCCTTGAATTTATTTAAAGATGCTTTTGGAAGAATACTGAATGATATTCTTCTTCTTGTTCTTAGGTGTCATTGAGTACGACTCGAAATGACCCTATGAACAAAAAAATCTGAACCCTGTTCTATCCTGTGCCATCCTCACATTTCCTGACACACAAAAGCTCATTGCAGTAGTCACCATGTCAATCCACCTGGTTGAAGGTCTTCCTCTCTTTCACTGACCCTCCACCCTTCCTAGCATCATGTCCTTCTCCAAGGAATAAGCCCTCTTAGCAACATGCCCAAAGTATGTGAGGCAAAGCCTCATCACTCTTGCCTCCAAAGGAATGATCTAGGAAACATCAAAAGAAGATGGGAGTAGTACACAGAGTCATTGTACCAAAAAGAACTGGCTGACACAGAAGTATTTCATAAAAAAATTTATGTTCACGAGGCAATGGTGATGAAGGTGGAACTTCAAGCTGCTCTGAAGGAATTGTCAAAAAAAACAGGCCCCAGGAATTGATGGAATACCAACTGACATATTTTAAGAAACAGATGCAGGCATCTGGATTGGAGGAAGACTCATCAACAACCTGTGTTATGCAGATAACACAACCTTAATTGCTGAAACGGAGGATGGCCTAAACGATTTGCTGCAGAGATCAATGTCTATAGTTTGCAATATGTATTGAAGCTAAACATCAAGAAAACAAAGATTCTCATTACTGGGCCAACTGGCAGCATCATGATAGATGGAAACAGATTGTTAAGTATTTCAGCACAGTTATACAATCAACACTATCAGCACCAGCAGTCAGGAAATAAAAAGATTAATTGTATTAGGAAAATGTGCCATCAGGGACCTCTCCAGATTGCTTAAGAGCAAGGATGTCAATTGAGAGACTAAGATGCACCTGGTGCAGGCCATGGTCTTCACAATTACTTGCTATGCATCAGAGAATTGGACAATGATCAAAGATGACAGAAGAAGAATTGATGCCTTTGAGTTGTGGTGCTGGAGAAAAATATTGAACATTCCATGGATTGCCAAGAGAACTAACAGGTCTTTCCTAGAGAGGGTGAAATCAAGTTGGTCCTTGGAGGCAAGACTTTTGAGACTTCATCTCACATACTTTGGGCAGGTATCTAGAAAGAACCAGTCTTTGGAGAAGACTATCAGGCTTGGAAGGCACGTGAGAGAGACTCTAGAAGAGATGGATTGACACAATAACTGGGGTAATGAGGGTAGGAGTGTCAAAGACAGTGAGATTGGATCAGGATAGAACAGTGTTCGGAGCTATTATGCATAGGGTTGCTATGATTTGCAGTCGACTGAATGACACATAACAATAACAACATGAGTTCTAATAATTGAGCTCAGGTGGCCTAGTGGTAAGAAGCTGTGCTGCAATCCCAAAGACACACAGTTCAAATCCACCAGCTGCTTTACAGGAGAAGAATGTGCAATCTCATCCCTTAAAATTTATTGCCTCTGAAAACTTGCTGGAGGGTCAGCTATAGGTTGGTTCTAACTCAATGACACACAACTACAATACTGTACTTCTCAGGTCTTAAAAACTAATTTGGGAGTTATTTTTAAATAACAAAAGCAAAACTTACCAGTAGGCATTTGTTCCCCATAATATACAATGCAGCACATAGTAGAGGAAGACAGCACTCAGGAATATGGCCACGAGGTAGCCTCTCATGGCTGGCCCCCCTGAAACACAAGGGAAAAAGTAATGGACAGGCTTAGTTCAAAATGAATGGAAGACTAGTACACAGAAAGTATACAATGGCTCAGACCTACGCCTCAATGAACAAAGAGAAGAAACACTAGAATTCAACACAGGCTTATAATTTTATATATACTCTCTCAGTGTACAAAAAAGAAAACATTATCCCTACTTCTTCTCTTTTAATTAATACATGATGCATGCTTTTAGAAAAATGAACAGTTCCATGATTTCAAAGCTCTCAATTACTTTCCCCCATTAGAAAAGAAAGATAAAAAATTAAATATATCTATTCTATATCCAGGGGAGTGCTGTTTAACATAGTCCATAAGGAGTTCTGCTGCTAATTCAAAGGCTATGGATCTCTGGTGGTTTAAATTGACCAGTAGCTCTGTAGGAAAAATAGGAATCATTTCCTCTTGTGTGATTTATTGTTTCAAAAAACCTGCCTGACTCTCAGTCTATGAATCATATTAACTCCATGATAGTAACTTTGACTTCTTGACTTGCACTTCTGCAGGGAACTCTGATGACATATTTCCACAGGGGACTTTGTTGATTACCTAAAGGCAGGAACTTGTCTGCCAATTCAAATCTACCAGCAGCCCTGAGGAAGGAAGAAGGATAATCTCCTCCTCCCTTGTGATTCACAGCCTCTGAAAACCCAGCGGTCTGCCAACTATAGGTTGGTTCTGACTGACAGTAATGAGTGTAATGAGTGAGTTTTCTTTACTCCATATCATTTATTTGGGGAAGAGGATTATTAAAGAACATTTCTTATTTCTCTCTCAACAGAAAGTGACTATATGCCATAAGATGTGAATAAGTCCTTAAAATGACTTTTATATGCTATGTTGTTGTTGTTGTTGTTGTTGTTGTTGTTAGGTGCTGTCTGGTCAGAAACAACCCTTAGCTGATCCTCTAACAGGTTTTCAGAGGCAATAAATCACACTGGAGGAGACCGACCATCCTTCTCCCACGGAGCAGGTGATGGATTCCAAACGAATGCCTTTTGGGATTGCAGTGCAGCTTCTATTTTTATCAATTCTTTTTCTAATTTTGAAGAACAAAACAAAAGACAAAATAGCTGCTGGAAAAATATGTCCCCGCTTGTCAGTTTTGGTGCACTTTAGAATAAACTTTGATTTCTCAACATCAAAGCCCAGGTAAATCTAGCTGGCTACTTGCATGTGTTTGTATTACGTTTACAGTATAATTCACTGCATATTTGCATAGAGACCAAAATGTGGTATTATCCTCCCCAGAAGCAAAAATGCAAACTCTACCAAAGGCAAAAAATCAACCAAAACATGTAGTTTCCACTTCTGTTTCAAAACAAAAGATGAAAATGTGTTCACTTTTACCTGTAATTAAAATGTGAAAGGTAAATTTGATACATAGTTTGGTACCATAATAGATCTTTAGTTTCAAAGCATGTGACTTTAAATAGATATACTGTTTCTTTGCTTCTAACATCCAGTTTCCAGTTTATCTAACAATTATATGTGTCTATCCCACCACATCTCTCCTATTCCTTTTTTTTCTTGGCAGAAAACTTTTCTTTTTTTAATTCTTTTTTAATTACTGTTAATTTTAATGAAAGTTTACAGAGACTTTGGATTCCCATTCATTCATTGTTGTACTTTTCTCCCTGCCCTCCCCCACCCATTTGCTCTTCTCTTTGAAAAGTAAAAGAAAAATTCATTGTTATGCCATCCCTCTCCCCAAGTCCACTCCACTATGCAGCCTTCGTTCTGGACTCCTGTCATGACAATAATACCTAACCCTATATCCCTTTTGAAACAGGACTGACATCAGGGTTCAGGGGAGACTGAGAAAGATGGGATAAATTATGTGTACTGCATTGAAATAAATGAGTGAGAGAACTGTTTAAAAGGTATATATGATTAGGTATTATTGTCCTATTCTTTTTTACTAACCCATTCAGAGGCACTCAGCATTCAGCAGGAACCTGACTGAACATATTTCCAGATAATGCAAAAACAAAAAAGAAAAAAAAACCATCGCAATACAGTTAATTCTGACCTGTGACCTTCTAAGACAGGAGAACTGTCCCGCAGGATTTCCAAGGCTTTACAGAAACCTTTACAGAACCAAACTACCATCTTTCTGACATGGTAGTTTAGCTCTCTTTAAACCTATTCCTCTGCCTCACCTGATTCATGACAAGACGATAGACAATAGAACAAAATGCAGCCCATTCCTATGCCATTTCCATGGCTGATTATGAACCACTGTTATCCACAGGATTTTCAGTGAATTATTCTTTTTTTTTTTTTTTTTTCCAGAAGGGGGCTCTAGTGGTGTAGTCAAGAGGGAGTTGTGCTACTAGCCTAAAGATTCAAATCCACCTGAGGCTCTGAGGGTGGAAGATGGGCCAAGTTTTCTGTGTGATTTACAGCCTTTACAAACCCACTGAAGGCTGGGCTATGAATCAGTTCTGACTTAACATCAATGAGTTGAATTGAAATTATTTTCAGAAGCTGACTATTAGGTCTTTATTCTTAATATGCCTTAGTATAGGAACTCTGATAAAACTGTTAAACATCATAACAACGCACAAGTCTCCGCTTGCAGGTTGATGGTGTTTATGCATGATATGCATTGGCTAGAAGTCAATTCTAGCTCTCCGGCACAAAAGATGAGAATCCTACCACTGAACCAACAATGTCTTCACCATTACCATGCTTTTATTGGTAAAAATAGGCTCTAAACATCATTTACGTCTTGATGACACATGATTATCTGAATAAATGTCATTTTTTGTGCTGGGTTCTCTTAGAATGAGGTCATCAGGAGTTTACGAATGGGTGAGGCGAAGCAGCTAGACTGCATTCCCTTTCTAAGACATTCTATGGCACAGTGGTTAAGTGAACAGCTGCTGAGCAAAGTGTCAGTGGCCTGAACCCACCAGCTGCTCCATAGGAGAAAGATGTGGTGGTAAAGATTTACAGCCTTGTTAAAGCCTATGGGGCAGTTCTCCTCTGTCATACTGGGTCAAAATCAGAACTGATTGTATTACAATGGGATTTTTTAGAGTCATGCTGTCAGCTGTTGCCTCTCACTGTTGTGAAAGTAATTATCACTTCCATTCGCCACCATTATGAATCAGTTAGCAATGAAAGATGCGTCATTAGAAAGAAAACAAGTCAAGTGAATAAGCATAACATTACACACACTTCTAATTTGGTATGCATAATCTCTGTGAAAAATTAACTCTGCTTAGAAATCAGAAGACATGATTTCACAACCCATTCTCCATAATTCCTGCGTTGAGTGGGTCTGAGGCCAATCATTTTACGTCTTTGGCTCTGAGTATCCTCTCATGCATAAAAGTGAGAGCACACAACCTGTGACACTGGCTTTTTGAAGGATTAACTGAAATGATCCGAGTCAGACACAGCATATGGCACAAAATAAGGGATGAATAAGTTTGTGTATTTTATTTTCTGGTTTTACATATCTTATTGTTTTCAAGCCAGAAGCCAGCTGCTCTTTTTTCTACACTGTAAAATGCCTGATTGTGAGAACATCAACATCAGACACAGGCTGTTCTTATTCATTTCAATTTGATACTAAATTGAGTGAAAGATTATAAATTGGTTTTCTATTCAACCATTCATATGCATTTTGCTTTATAACGCTGATTATATAGTCACACACACATTGTCATAGTATGTTTTCCACATACTTCCGACACATAATTTTGTTCAAAGATCAATCTGTGTCTTCCTGTCCCAGTCAGGGGCTCCTTCAGCCACTCCTTTAAGGGAATCTCGTGCATTTTGAGAAATGGCATAAAGAATCAAGAACTAAGATGTGAATTGTGCTCATTGTTATCAGAGTGGCATTGCTCATGTCCAATTGGGGGGAAAATTGAAGGAAATGGTAATTTGATGTGATTTTTATTTTCATGTCTTTATATTTGTGGTTTCTATCTCTCACTGTGAGAACTCTCACTTCACTGACTGCTGTTGAGTCTGCACCAATTCATCGATGACCCCTTGTGGGTTCTCAGAGATTGCAACTCACACAGGAGGAGATTGTCCATCTTTCTCACGAGGAGCAATTGGTAGGTTCAAATTGACTGACTGCCTTTGGGTTGTCAGTCCAACTCCTTGCCCACAGGCCTTCAGAATTCCATGTGAGAACATTACTCCTCCCAAGAATACTAGAGGAATATTTTTTGGGAACACTATTTCCACCCCAAGTATTATGACAGATCACCATTGAACAGTAATGATCAAAGACCAGATAAGTTGTGGGATAATCTCAAGAATATCATCCATGAAAAGAGAAAAAGGTCATTATAAAGAAAGAGGAAAAAGAGAAAACTGAAATGGATGTCAGAAAAGACTCTAAAAATTGTAATAGAACATTGAGAAGCCAAACCAAAGGGGAAACATACTGAAGTAAAAGAGCTGAACAGATTGTTGTTGTTGTTGTTGTTCTTATGTGCCATCGAGTCGCTTGCAACTCATAGCGACCCTATGTACAAGAGCTCTAAATGCTGTTCTATCCTGTGCCAACCTAGCCATCTCAAACACACTTATT